ACACACACACACACACACACACACACACACACGCACACAGACCATGTAAGTATCGTTGGTGGCAGTAGATGGAATGAAAACACAGCGGTAAGAGTGTGGGTTAGCTTTACGTGTTGGGTCTAGTGGGGATGAGAGGGAGACAAGTGAGAGACAGACAGACAGACAGACACAGACGGACAGAGAGACAGAAAGGGAAAAACCAGACAGACAGACAAACCACCATTGTTAATACCACCACTACTACTACTATTAAAATTACCCCCATTTAAATTTTTGTAACTACCACCAATGTCCTTATCTCTATGTATATTATTATTATTATCTAAATCTATTATCTTATCTTTGGCTAAACTTTAATCGAAATATCTAATAAACTTTCACCATAATGGTTATTGATATTTCACTATAAACTTTAATTAACTTGTACTTTAATGTTAAAAAAATAATAATTATGTGATGATCTTTTACCTGGATATTTTAATTAATTTTAGCCATGTGTAATTAGCATTCATCTTAAAGTGGGAGTGTAGGAAACGAGATGAGAGTGTGTTTAGAGTGTGTGGGAGGGTTAAGAGTGTGTGGGAGGGTGAAGAGTGTGTGGGAGGGTGAAGAGTGTGTGGGAGGGTGCAGAGTGTGTGGGAGGGTGAAGAGTGTGTGGGAGGGTGAAGGAGGGTTAACAGTGTGTGGGAGGGTGCAGAGTGTGTGGGAGGTTAAGAGTGTGTGTGGGAGGTGAAAGAAGTGTGTGGGAGGGTGAGAAGAGTGTGTGTGGGAGGGTTAGAGTCTAGGACTTTAAGAGTATGTGGGAGGGGGATTAGAGTGTGTTTCAGAGAGTGAGAGAGTGCGTAGGGGAGAGTAAGAATGTGAGAGAGAGGTTTAGAAAGGTAGGAATGAGTAGGGGTGAGGGGTGAGAGGTGAGGGGTGAGGGGTGAGAGGTGAGGGGTGAGAGGTGAGGGGTGAGAGGTGAAGGGTGAGAGGTGAGGGGTGAGAGTAGAGAGAGTGAGAGCGTGTGGGCGGACAGGGCGATGTAACCTCCTTCAGTAGAGAACCAGGCAGGCCAGCACGTAGACCCCTGGCCGGAGAGATAAGGAGAAAATGGTTCAGAAACAACCTCCTTGAATTCTGAACAGCTGACGCATCGACTCATGTTTACAAACAATCCTTGGTATATGACCCACGTGTGAAGCAGCTGATGGACCGTCTATAGGCAGTCAGCTGATAGGAGAAAGTAGTGAAAGTAAACCACCCGGAACCGTAATAGGCATAGAGGCTGATACTCCCTATCTTGTTAAAAAAAATCTGAACCGTAAGCAAAACTCAATATAGTAACGTATGTGTGATAGCACTATCTTGTCACTGGAGATAATATTTTGTATGAAAGGTCACCAACTCCGTTTTTACCGACAAGGAAAAAAAAAGGTCCTTTGATCATAAAAGAACTCGTAAAAGAGACAGAAAGAGCGAGAGAAAAGTAAGTCCCGCGCCACGACGACAACACCACTCACAGTCAATTGACTTCGGAGGCGTATGTGTGTAAGTTGGGTGGCAGAAGTTCTTATTCCTTCACACCGTCGATGATTCGTAGAGGGAGACTTGGCAAACTTGTGTAACTTTGGCCTGTGTAAACTTATGACAAGACGCATACCCACTGCTTCTGACTCAAGACCAACCACACACATACACTATCACTACTGTACACATACAAAATCATTACGCTTTTCATTCTTACTACACATACACCTCCCTTACATAACACACATGGAATCTATATAAGAAAATTGTATTCGTATTTCTTCACTGTGACAATTTCAACTACAATTTCCTCCTCTATCTCATTGAGTATATATGAACGACCTCCACTTAGATAAAACAAGTCGAAGTGACTATCTCTATACCAACGGCACAATAACTACTACGTATTGACCTCCTCAACGTGAAAGATTAAAACCCACATTGACAGCGGAACATTTTATTTAGCCAGGAATATACAGATACAGGAGCAATAACAACAATATTAACATGGTTGAATCACATCCGCTAAACGAGTAGTATATTAGATAGGTATGAACGTCGTCCACCTCTCTTGATACCTGTAGAACCAATGAGAGGTTGCCCCCCCCCATCCCTCACCCCTCACCCCTCACCCCTCACCCCTCACCCCTCACCCAGAACACCAGGTCTAATAAAGTGTAGAGACGAGCATGTCAGCAGAGGGGGACTAAGAGGTAAGGGATAGATTCATTCATTACCTGACGATACAATGACAACTGCAGAAGGAAGAGGAGGAGGAGGAGGAAGGGAGCAGTAATTATAAAGTGAAAGGGGTGAATAATAGTAGTTAAAAGGAAAATAAAGAATAAGAGGATTATAAATGGTAAGAGGAGACATAAATATAGTTAGAAGAGGGAATATGTGATGTGGTTTCAGGACCAGATAGTGAATAAGTCAGTCAGTCAGTCAGTCAGTCAGTCAGTCAATGTTGGTTTTGATATCTAGTGAGAAGGAAGGAACACAGTGATAATTCTAGATACAGGAACACGGTACAAATTATCAAGGAACACATTACTTTATTGTGTGTTCGAAGATTATCACCCCCAAAGTAGTGTTGTATTTTCCTGTATTTCATTCCTGTATTCTCGTCACCGGATACAACTATAACTGTGCAATAATACGTCACCTTTACAACTTTTTAAAATGAATATTATTTATACATCATAATGAACCTGGATTTTTTTACGGACTTTTTTATGGAATTTTTTTTTTTTTTACACTTTGTACAGCCAGATGGAGTAAAAATGTGAAAGTTTACATTGCGTCATCAACAATACTAATATTAAACTTCTTTTTTTTATTCGTAAATGTTAGAATATTTCCATATATTTAAAATGTTAAACATTAATTATACGAAAAAGGGGGAAATTATGTTTGAATGAGAGAGAGAGAGAGAGAGAGAGATAACTAATGGCTGACAACATTACCGTCACTAGAGGGCGCCTCACCGTCCTTCTCTGTCTGTAAATTTCTTCTTAAAATCAGTGTTGAATATTCAGTGTGTGTCCCGGGGAGAGCGGTGTGTGTGTGTGTGTGTGTGTGTGTGTGTGTGTGTGTGTGTGTGTGTGTGTGTGTGTAAAGGAGAAAAGACGTTTTAATGAATGTAAAAACTGTGGTAATACATGAGTTTAGACCAAACTTACTTCACTTATACTTTACACATAAACTCTTGCTTCACTTATATTTATCTTTAAAAACATAAACAATAACAGTAAGTCATAATAATACGAATTAATTAATACCGGTAAATAATTGTGGTCACATGTAATGAACCAACCACAACACGGGAAATACATCAAACAAAATGATTTAAATGTTATAATTATATCTAAAACAACATGATGAAATATTTCTATATGAGCAATTACAGGCTGTTAATTAAATTGTGATTACCACCTGTTAAACTATTCATTAATGGTGTAAAATAATCACACACACACACACACACACACACACACACACACACACACACACACACACACACACACACACACACACACACACACACACACACACACACACACATAGTAAGTGAGAGAGACAGCAGTTATCAGTGTGTCCGAATCCATCAACAAAACTTGTATTAACGTCAACACAACCCACCATCCCCATGACGCCCCTCTGGTACTGGTGACGAATTGTGCTGGAGATGTTGTCGACATGGGTGAGTGACGGGAGGTTCTATGGGGACTCGTTTTGTCCTGACGCGGAATCCAGCTCTCCGTGCATCTGTTCTTTCCATCTTGGTACACTGAGCCTTGACTGTTCACGGGTAGAGAGTGAGGATGTCATGAGAGCCAACTTCCCTTCCTTAAACTTCTACAGACTCTCCATAAACCAGAATCAGAACGTGAAGGTGGTGAGGGTCGGTGTCCTGACGGTGTTCTGGAGCTAGTGGAGGAGGAGGAGGGAGCTCTCTTAGTCTCTTTGCCGGCTACAACACCGCCACTACCTCTATGGCAACATCATCACTACCTTATACTGGCAAGAACATTCCAAATTTACCCTCCTTACTTCACTGGGACAACAATATCAATATGTTTCCTCAAATAACCTCAGGTAGTCTACTGTACCTGGACCTCTGCAATAACCCCCTGGAGATCTATACCTGTCGAGGAATTCATCACCACGCCCTATGTGAAGTGGACAGCACTCTACAATATTGCACTGCAGGTAATAAACCCAGGTACTCCTCACCTCTTTATCTGATTATCTTACAAGACTACTAAGAGTATCGTATGTTAATGAAATTGATCGGAAACTCCATTATTGTTATCACCAGTTGGATTAAAATACAATGTGAGGATAATCTGATTAATAAGACTTCTCCCTGAACCCCGTATATATTGTCCTTCTCTTATACAGGTAGAATTTTACACCTGATAGGATAATTCGATGGAAACAAGGCGTAAAGATACTACCAGTGACTCGCTTAACTCGCGTGGCCACAACAAAAAGTAAATTTCGGCTCCAGTGAAACAATACGAAATACTGATATGTAGAGCAAAAATACAATTCAAAATAGAAGATAATTTTTGTCTGAAATCTAAAAGAACTAAACAAAAATTAATTCAATCCAACCTAACCCAAATCATAACTGACATATCAATATTCTAATTCAATTTGCAAGTGTGTCTGTGTGTGTGTGTGTGTGTGTGTGTGTGTGTGTGTGTGTGTGTGTGTGTGTGTGTGTGTGTGTGTGTGTGTGTGTGTGTGTGTGTGTGTGTGTGTAACAGTCGTACAAAATGACTCGAGTTGTTGTCGGTACCAAAATAAAACGAATCATTCCACAACTGTGACAAATATTTTCACTTTGTCTCGTCATCCACAGCGCCAACTTATATTACGTGTGAATGTTTGGTGAAGTTGATAGACCACAGTAAACAAGACAGGGTGAGGTGTGTTGTCTCGACAGGTCTCAGGCGTGACAGCTTTATCAAGTTAGAGGAGAACTAGATGACTGAGGTGGAGCAGGTGTGGGGCCCGCTGTTTGAGAATGAGGTGGAGCAGGTGTGGGGCCCGCTGTTTGGGGATGAGGTGGAGCAGGTGTGGGGTCCGCTGTTTGGGGATGAGGTGGAGCAGGTGTGGGGCCCGCTGTTTGAGGTATGAGGTGGAGCAGGTGTGGGGCCCGCTGTTTGGGGATGGTGGAGCAGGTGTGGGGCCCGCTGTTTGAGGATGAGGTGGAGCAGGTGTGGGGCCCGCTGTTTGAGGATGAGGTGGAGCAGGGTGTGGGGCCCGCTGTTTGAGGATGAGTGGAGCAGGTGTGGGGCCCGCTGTTTGATGGTGGAGCAGGTGTGGGGCCCGCTGTTTGAGGATGAGGTGGAGCAGGTGTGGGGCCCGCTGTTTGAGGGATGAGGTGGAGCAGGTGTGGGGCCCGCTGTTTGAGGGATGAGGTGGAGCAGGTGTGGGGCCCGCTGTTTGAGGATGGGTGGAGCAGGTGTGGGGCCCGCTGTTTGAGGATGAGGTGGAGCAGGTGTGGGGCCCGCTGTTTGAGGATGGTGGAGCAGGTGTGGGGCCCGCTGTTTGAGGATGAGGTGGAGCAGGTGTGGGGCCGCTGTGAGATGAGGTGGAGCAGGTGTGGGGCCCGCTGCAGGTGGAGCCCGCTGTTTGAGGATGAGGTGGAGCAGGTGGGGCCCGCTGTTTTGAGGTGGAGCAGGTGTGAGTTTGATGAGGTGGAGCAGGTGTGGGGCCGCCAGTGTGGGGCCCGCTGTTTGAGGATGAGGTGGAGCAGCGCTGTTGCTGTTGAGAATGAGGTGGGAGCGCTGTTTGAGGACAAAGTAGTGTTGTTCGTCGCTAGTGAGTCACACCCAAAGCTCACGTGTACACCACATTATGTATAACTCGCTCCAAAAAGTATCCTTTACGAGTTTGTGTGAGACAGTCTCTTGGCGCAAACATGATCCATCAGTTGCTTTTGTTCCTTCTCAGTCTTTACTATATAAGTGTGAGCTCTGTGGCAGCTGTCTTCTTTATGGCCCCTAAGAAATTCTGGGTCCGTTTGATGTCACAGTTGTCAGCCACCACTTAATGCAGGAACCTGTTACCCGTATGGCGTTGGTCGTCCTTGTGTCCAGATTACCACAACACCCACCGTATCCTAACAAAGGCTTTATTACCCTGTATCGCTATCCTCCTGGGGATATTAATTCAATTGTTAGAGGATGCAGGATCTCCACCTCGACTCCTAGAGTGACCGGAGCGAGAAGGAACAACTAAGTAACACCAAGTAGACGCCCCTCCTCCGTCAGTAGTTGTCGCCGCCGCTGTAACTCACCCTCACCATTCTGGCCCAGCTTCCTATTATCCTTACACTGACTTGTCTAGTGTTATTACAGAAGAGTTAGGTGTAAAATGAAACAGCAAATTCCTTTTAATATTTCATTTTTCATTATTTGTTCAGTTTCAAACAATGAAATATGGCGTTCGTAGTATTTTACCTACCTTTGATATTCTCCTCTCTCTCTCTCTCTCTCTCTCTCTCTCTCTCTCTCTCTCTCTCTCTCTCTCTCTCTCTCTCTCTCACGTGATAAACACTCAGTACACTCGGTGGATACATAGGTAACGAGGCGGCCCTCACTCAGCAACTCCGCCGAATTGCAACCTGAATTTAGTAACTTGTTAGTCTGAGGAAACTTAACTTTGTTCCTTACTGCACCGCTGAGGACAATATTCATCTTTAAGTAACAAATTGGCTTTAAATCTAACGTTTATAATATATTTTCATATCCCAAAGAAGGGAAAAATTAACTTTATAATCGTTCCACCATTTGACGTACATTGGCTCAAAGAGGGAGAGAGAGAGGGGGGGGGGGTAACCATTTCCTGGACACAAGCGCACGAACCTCCCTCCCTTCCTTACGTTCCTCTCTCCTTTCTCCATCCCTCCCTTCCTTACGTTCCTCTCTCCTTTCTCCATCCCTCCCTTCCTTACGTTCCTCTATCCCTCCCCCCTCCTTGCGTTCCTCCTTCCCTACCCACTTCCTTACGTTCCTCCCTCCCAAGGACAAAACCTTCATCTGGTGGTATGTTTTTCTCTGTCCACGAGAGGTCCTCAGTCTGTGTTGTAAGATGAAGGTTTCTATGGCTCCTTATTTATGTTGCTGTGAGTGAGTGTGTTGAGTGTGAGTGAGTTGAGTGTGAGTGTGTGAGGGTGTCTTTTTCTTTTAGTGGCTGTTCTACTCCACGAGGATGAAGCAAATCAATTAAGGAAAGCATCAGGAGAGACAGGCGGAAGGCTAGAAGGAGGAGGAGGAATAATGGCAGAGAAGACATAAGAGTGACAGGGAGGAGACACGTGTGACGTTCCTCCGCTCGTACCAAACACATTATCTCCAGCGATCAGATAGTGAATCTCCAGCTTTAGGGCTCGTAATTAAGGCACGTCAAGATGTGTGGCGGCTTATACTGCAGGAAAACCAGAGACTAGGAAAAGAGAGAGAGAGAGAGAGGAAAATTTAAGAATAAAAGCTATTTCAGACCAGTGTTGGGTGAAGGTTTCCCCCAATGTGTCTTGATAGTACGTGTTTTGACCTCTTAACTTGTTATTTTCTGGGTCTTATATATCCACTGAGATCCACTTAATCCTGATAGGCTCTGCAGTTCACTCTTCTGGCTGCCTTCATCTGTCATTCAATCGTCTGCAATTATAAGTCTCTTTCCTCTTAAAAGTTTCGTATATTGTTTATATGTGACAGACATCGTAGCAAGGAATTCTATAATAGTTTTATTTACAGAGGATTTCACCATCAACGGGTAAAATGACAAATACATTTACACGTCAGAAAGCAAAATTATCAGAAACAAGTAAACACGTGATGTTTACAGTTGTCAGGGGTGCCGCGTGGGTTGGCGTGGCGTCATCGTCGCAGTTGTCATTTAGGTTTCAAGTTGAGAGGACGTGTGCTCAGCGTCGCTCCTCAATTTAAGTCCCGAACCAGCTTTGACCTAACAAGAGGAGTTACAGTACCACACAGACTGTTAGTGGAGTTAAACACTGCGGGTGGTGCCACAAGGGGGACCTCTTAAGAAGAAATAATGGATTTGGTTTGTGAGTGTTCTTCCGCCAGCACGGGGAGGCCTCTGAACAACCTTTTCCGAGATACTGTTTACAAGTAACTTAGTAAGTGACTCCTGTTTTAATCGGGGGGGGGCAGAACACGGTCTTAGGTAGGAGTCGGTCGCCAGGATTTCACACGTTTCCTGGTGTCCTTATTATGTAAAAAAATATGGTACAGGTGTTACTAATTTCATTGTACTGTAGTTACTCTTCAAATTAAAATGTCTCGTGGATGGTTGAGGGTGTTGGTAGTCATGGATGGTTGAGGGTGCTTTAACTACCAGGAATATAAACTTCCCACTAATGCATGAACACAAATTTGCTTACTCTGTCCCCATATTGGTGAACACGGGTAATGGGAGGGAGGTGGCGTCGACTATCATAGAAAACGGGGATAATTCGGTCTTATCCGAGTTCGTCTTGTGATATATTTACAATTATTAGTTCAAGGTATTCACAACTCATGGACGCACGGACGAATACAATAACCCACAGACGAATACAGTAACCCACGGACGAATACAGTAACCCACGGGCGTACGGACAGACACAGAAACTCACGGACGCACACACATTCCAGAGGCTCCTCTCGACAGGCCAGAGAACCAATATATCGCGGTGGACGTCTGAGGCAGCCCACGTAGGGTAAACCATTATCATGTGCCAGCCGCAGCACACATACGTAATGACCCGTCACTCACCCACCCAAAATAAACACCGCAATATTGTCATCACTTGGTAAATGCTTAACACTATCTCGTATGTATAAGTACATCTATTATGACAGGAATCACAACCAATAAGCTGGAGAACACGAACAAATAAATAGACAAATATGCCCGTCAAACAGCGAGAACGAGCGAAGCACCTACCTGCAATGTTCACAATACACTACAACTTTAATTAAATAAATATCACTCATTAAATCATACCTAAACTTGAGGCACAACATTACAGTACAAAACATTGACCTTCTTCATATGCATAACACATAATGGCGTGTCAACACCAGGCAGCGCACGGATAAACGAATATATTTACTTGTCGTGCACATTAATCCCGGGTAAGGCTATCCAGTATCTGCCATAGTCAGCAAGCGCATGAACGATGGTATATTAGCACATGTCCCTGAAGGAGAAAATCTTATTGACAAACGTTATTTTGTGTTTGAGCGGCTTAAGACGAGTTGGTTGGCGTGTCAGGCAGCAGGGACCCACCGTATAAACCATTAGCGTCTGTCATTTGCAGGAAAAGCGCCCAACATAAAACACTATTTATCTGTCAAGGACATGAATTGAATATTAGCCTCCGTGTGATTTTTTGCTATTCGTTGTTTTGTAATGAGTGAGCACAGGTTTTAGAGATATTCCCCGCCCCATGAACATAGTTTGAATGGCTGGGGACCGCTTAGCTGTGAAGAGTAAAAATTATAGGCGGTTCATCCCGATAAACTGAGGGAATTCGTCCTCGTGTAGAAAACTCGAACTAGAAATTTGCATACAGTAGTTCACATCTCGGTCAAGATAAAATACACCTTATGATAATCGTACCACAAGACCTAACTGATGAGACACCAAGGCCTTAAAGTTCCTGAATGAGTTGGGTTCCAGTGTCGAGTTACTTGTTCCAGCGCCTTGGTATAGTGTTCCAGAGAGGGAATGTTTGTTGCATACTAACATCTCGTCCCTTACCCGAGGAGCTTGAGGAAGTGATGTGGCAGAGCGTTATGTAAATAAATATAACTAAAAACCTTGTAAACTTATGTAAAAAAGGGGATGATAGAAGAACGTATGTACCCAGAGTTCAGGGTAAATAATTCCAATATTCGAACGATCCTCTTCTGTGAGGTGAAGCATCTCCTAAAAGCATTCAACCACAAGTGGCATTATCTAAACCCAAGAAGGTAAAATCATAATGTTGTTTCAATATATGTTTACACATCTCGACATCCACCCATAAGACAGTTCAGATAAAAACATCATTTCGTTATATCTGTGTCGATAGTGTAAGAGGATAGTGCAGCTGTTGACCACTAGGGCGAGGGAGCGGGAAAACACACACAACCCAGAGAAAACTATTAATGTGGCGGGTGTATCTGAGCGAGGCCATTTACTGTCTAACTCGACAATTGTTCCCCCTCTGCTTCTCTCGGTCATTAATACTGTGTGCAGAGTTGTGTTTTATGTGAATAGCTGTACTGAGGCGGACTGGCAGGATGACGTTATTGGAAAACCTCGGGGGTAAAGTGATTGCTTGGACGTACAGTTGTTGGGTGGTTGGTGGTGGTTATTGGCAATGGTGAAAGTACTGCACGAAGTTTTAGAAACCCAACACGGGTCTGGAAACTAGCAGAGCAATTTAGGAACTCGAAATTATAGATTATATCTGTCGTTTCGCCAATTTTGTATCCGGACTTCATTATTTCAACTGTTTACCTCGAGAAAAATCCTAATTGATCATACAGAATCCACACGATCTTTACTATTTTGATGCGCTTGTATTTAATTTAGTGTAGATAGGGAGGGCCACGGAAGATCAGGGAGGGCTAAGGGTGCTAAGGAGGATCATAGAGAAACAGGGAGGATCAGGGAGGTGTTAGGGAGGATCAGGGAAACATCGGAGAGAAAAACAAAGTCGGGGGGGGGTTGGTGAAGGGATCCTGGAGTGATAGGTTAGTTTAGGTTATGATTGGTTAAGTTAGGAAGGCACATTGACTAATTGATATCTCTGTTAGGTAATATTTTAATAATGTAATCTTACGTTATCGACTCGGCTGCTGGTTACAGAGTTGACATAAAATGGTCTCTCTGATGTTGGCGATGCCAAGTATTATATTTACTGGCGCGGGAAAGTTCAACAGTCAGTCGGAAACAGTTTAACAGTCAACAGTGAAGTCAAAAGTCCGACTGTCAAAGAGGAAAGTGAATTAAATGAACAGAAGGGCAGACAATACCGGATCCAACTGAAGGTCAATATTCAGTGGGATGGAGAACACACAGACAATATTCAGTGGGATGGAGGACACACAGACGATATTCAGTGGGATGGAGAACACACAGACAATATTCAGTGGGGTGGAGGACACACAATACCTTCTATATAATTTATTAGATGGAGGTTTCACATATAACAGACCCGAGATATAACGGACTTTTCCTCTCTTTATGGTCCGTTAAATAGAAGTTTCACTGTATACTTCCCACACTACTGTCGGTCGGGACTATCAGCATCTATACTGTCAACGCATTTAATCCTTTACAACCCTCTCCGATTACCCACCAGATGGCGTGTACATTCTCATATATTTCTTAGTAAATTCCAAAATTCCGGAGGAGAATCTTGCTTCAGGGGATAAAAGTTAGGCGGGGAAGGGGATGGGAAAGGAGTGGGGAGAAGAGAGGAAAAGAGTGGGGAGTGGAGAAGAGAGGAGTGGGGCGAGGGGAGGGGACATAAAAACCCCTTCGAGGCTTGAACTTGTTTACATCCAGCAGTAAGTTTGGTTTTCAGGGAACATAAAACATCCCAAGGCAAAGGACTTTTTACTGCGTCTTGGTTGTTTATTTCATCTTCAGGTGGCGGCTCCGATGTCCCTCATGCCACCAATACCAGTGGTGGATGATGAGTATTGGTGATGATGGCTGTGGTGGGTGATGATGGGTGTGGTGGTGGTGGATGATGATGATGGGTGTGGTAGATAATGAAAGACGAAAGAGATCGAATGGAAAGAAAAATGCAAGGAAGGTAAAAGAAAGAGAGGAAGGTGACAAAGGAAGGAAGTTAGTGAGGAAGGAGGAAACGAGAGAGAGAGAGAGAGAGAGAGGGAGAGAGAGAGAGAGAGAGTCACTGGTAGTACCTTGTTTTGACTTATATAACTTGCTAAATTTCAGACAGACTTAATTTTCTTTTCGAGTTAGTTTACTTTGTTGAAACTACTGTTATTAATCGACTAATATAAACTGATTTTGTCTTATTTCAGGTTGTGATTGCTAATGAATTTTCAGATTGAATCACTCCCAAATTATAAACCATACGCGTTAAGTTAATTAGTTAGAGCAGGAACGCTAGTGTGACGACCTCTGTAAGTGGTGTTAGTCAAAGGAGAATGCTTCACCTGTACACTGACGAACAGGTGGTAGTTTTTATCTCGTATCTAATTAGTGTGGAATGATGACGTGTTGCTCTACCTGTATGAGACACCAAAGGGCCCTCACCCAACTCATTTACATTTAACGTAACCTCCCTTGACTTGACCTAACCTGTCCCTAACTTAACCTAATCTAAATTGCCTTACTCAAGCATTCTTTTAACCTAACATTCCCTAACCTAACCCGCCACTAATTTAAAATATAACATAAACTTTACCTAACCTAACCCTACCAAGCCTATCATATTCTAACCTAACGACCTACCCTAACCTAACGACCGACCCTAACCTAACGACCTACCCTAACCTAACTTAACGACCTACCCTAACCTAACGACCTACCCTAACCTAACTTAACGACCTACCCTAACCTAACTTGCATTAATCAAACCTACTCTTAACCTAACCTACCACGTATCAGAAATATAACATATATCTTAACTTTCCTTGCTTGATAACTGTGAGGTCATTGTGGAATACTGTCGTGACCTTGTTGATATATTAGGTCACAGAGGGTAGCAGTTGGTGTTAGGGCAACTCGGGGTACTTGATGGGCCTAGCTCCCACGAGACGGCAACTCCCCTACTCGACATGACACCACAAAGAGCTCTTCTATCCTACACCGGCCAATATCCTTGCCTCCTAGACCGGGTTTGTTTACATTGCGAAACATGATATTTCCCATCCTATCGACCCTGTCTCTCTTTTCTGCTATTGGCAAACGCTGTCTCTCAACCCCTACTTGTGACATACGCTATCATCTTGTTTCATGTTTCTCAGTAAATTGTTTTCTTCACCACGTACATTTCATTAAGCTGGAGTACAGTACCCGAAGGAAACCTGCCATGTATGGTAGTGATGGTCACGTGGAATAAAACCGAGTGTAGGACAAAAGCCCCCCAGGACAAAAGCCCCCCAGGACAAAAGCCCCCCAGGAGAAATAATAAGAATTTTAAAACTAATTATTTTATTTTTTACAGTTTATGAACACTTCTCTAACCTAACCCTCGGGAATTCTGTTATAGTTATAAAGAAATATACAAGGAATGTTTATTAAATCTGCAATGACGTGTGTTTTGTCTACTGGGGTAATTATTCCCCAGTTATTGAAATTGTAATAATTTCATATTTAAATCTATACATTTTTAATATTTCTAATGACCCTTTCTTTAACATAAAAACAGGGGGCTTCTGTCCTATTTTGCACTTTTACTGAGGGGCTTTTGTCCGGGCCCCAATAAAACCCTCCTCCTCACTTGTGTCCGGAGCCTAGCAAGATATAGTTCAATAGATTTTGGTTAGTCACTCGTTGGATAGATGGATAGATAGCAGTATCATATACAAAGGGGTAATCCAGCCCTGGTTATGTGTAGCCTTTTATAATTGTTTATTTTTCAGTATCCGTTAACCTTTTGTACTGTTTTTAATAATACTGTACAGTACACACATTGTAGTTTTAGTTATAAACACTTCTAAGTAAAAGCTGCACAAAGTCTGTAAATAATAATACACACTTAAAATAACCTAACCCAACAGGAGAAGTGCTGGTACAGTTGCAGGGTGGCATCCATTCATCAGAGGTGGAGCTGTAGCTTGGCAAGAATCACAAATCCTCAGCTTCCAAAGAGCCATGGCTTACTTCTCATTTTGTAAGTATGCATCTTCAATTTGTTTTTGTTTTTTCCTGACTACAGAAAATCCTTGAAACAAAAGTACTTTAAAGTAACTCTTCTTTAAAACACACAAATCCCAAAAGCAGGTGTTTAATGGCACATGATGTGAAATATTGGTGAAACTTTTGTTATATAGTACTAGAGTTTATTAAAAATTACACTTGAACTGTACCACTACCAATTAGATGCACATGGTACCATCTGTCACCGCACCAGCTGAAATGAGCCACAATTCTTAGCAAAAACACCTGGTAATCAAGAGTCACCCAGTATAAGTGAATGATCTTCCACAACTCTAGAAATCTATTTGACAGACAACTTTTGGTCTGGTTAAAATACCTGTTTAGCTCTGCACTCTTGTTTCTTGTTATGATGGGAGCTTTGCAAATATGTTCTGGTGCGGACTACGGCAAGCTTTGGTGCGAACCTTGACATCTCCTCCCTCCCTCCCTCCCTCCCTCCCTCTCTCTAAAAAAATAGATAGATTCACTTTTAAAATGCATCAATATTTAGTGTTGTTCAGTGAGGAGCAGATAACTTAGGCTTTGACAAGTGTTATCTGCAACCATGGAACCTAACCACCACAGTTGGTGAGGGACTAATGTACAGTAAGCTCTCCATCAGCTGGAATCACCAGTTTCAATAACTCTCCAATAGCCAGAATGGAAATCATGCTCCAACATGTCTCCAGATGCCAGGCGTGTAAGTGAACTACCTGCCCAATCACCTAGTTCATATTCTGATGCCATTGTCCAAGGTTGTTTCCTAGCCAGCTGCTATTTTTATTAAAATTTTTGTTTTGCATGTACAGTACTGCACCAGGACACAATTAGCCAAGAAAACAGTATTAAAGCAGGGTTAAGATGTAAAAAATGATTACAGTTATGTACACTATACTGTACATTCAGTAAGTGTGGAAGTCTTATGGAAAGGAAAAGGGAAACACTGGAGCACTTTAGTTTTCATCTTTATTCAAGAGCTCTTCAGGTTCAAATCAATGGAAACAGTTTCACGCAATCTTAATTCAAGGAAACATCCAGTTCAGATTGTCAGGGACACTGCGTCAGCACAAACTGGGATCGTGAGGAAGGCATTTCCAGACATTCACAGTGAAAAGGGTACAGGGGCCCCCAAAATTCGCGGATTTTTATTTTGCTGTCCTCTATTGTTCGCAGATGACACTGTGGGTGTACCCAAGAATGGTTGTGGGTAGTCTCAAAGTTGCCGGCATTTTCACGGATGGGACAGGGAACCATTCGTTCTAGAGACAGTAATTTCCTTAACCTGTATTGTAAATATATATATGTGTGTGTGTGTGTGTGTGTGTGTAGACACACACACACACAAAGCACACACAGTACAAATAAATAATAAAGGGAAAATACTCTCACAAATAATCAGAAAAAAATTAAATATGCTCTACTGTATGTATTAAAGCACGGACTTAAGGGTAAACTCACATTTTTAGTAAATTGTTTCTGATAATTTGTGAGAGAATTTTCCCATTATTATTTATTTGTATGTGTTGTGTGTGTGTGTGTGTGTGTGTGTGTCTACACCAGGGGTGTCAAACCTCGTGGCTCGTGGGCCAAATGTGGCCCTTAGGATTGTCAGGTGTGGCCCGAGGGATGACGGTAAAATTTATCCTCCCGTGAAAATATGATAGAAATAGATATACAGGTAATCATGTTTATTTAGTTAAATGAATTTTACATACTTAAGATCAGACAAACCCAAATGAGGTATTCCTGGTAAGCCAGGTAAGGCAATGTGTGAAGTTGTAAACTTCAATCCTGCAAATATGTAATATAGCACTTGTGTTGGCCCTGAAGAGGGTAACTAAAATAAGAATTGGTCCTCGAAAGGTTTTGAGTTTGACACCACTGGTCTGCACACACACACGCACACATATATACAATACAATACATAAATACAATCAGAAAAAAAATTATTAAAAATGTGAGTCTACCCTCAAGTCCGTGCTTTAATAAATAAAGCACGGACTTGAGGGTAGACTCACATTTTTAATAAAATTTGTTTCTGATTATTTGTGAGAGGATTTTCCCATTATTGTTTATTTGCATGTGTGTTTTGTGTACACACACACATTATATATATATATATATATATATATATATATATATATACAGGTAAATGAAATAATTTTCCTAAGGACAAACACATAAAGGGAATATACATTTCTTTGTACACAAGTAAAAATGTAACACCCCCCCCCCCCTTCCCCCGGTCATAAATGTTATTCGTGGATTTGGCGATTCGCAGCCATTTTGAGAACCTAACCCCCGCGAATTTGGGGGCCCCCTGTATATCTAAAAGGACTGACATCCACAATTCCTGTCTATTTCGCAAAAGTTTATCTAGAGTGTGTACAAGGTACAGTGATTGTGGGTGTCACAGATTCAGCATTGCCAATATCTGATGCAACTCTCCTCCAGGGAAATGACCTGGCTGGCAATTTGGTTGTTCCCTGATTGAAGGTTCAGAACTCTCCCTTACCACATAACAATACTGTAGAAGTTGAGAAAGAGCAGCCATATTTGTTTCATATGTGCTCTTGTAGTGGATGCCTCCCCTACAAAAGCCGTTTGTCGCTGTGTAGCCGACCCTTTTCGAATTCCCCGGCCTACGCCTCCAGCGCCGCCTGACGGAGCGGGGGTCAACTATCAACCCTCACCAACCAGCTCTCTCTACTCAACGCTTGTAACCATGCTGCCTACCCAGCAACAAGCTGCATTGTACATCCAATACAATATGTATACAGAGAGCACTTAATGAGTTTCCTTTCTCCATCCCATCTTGAGTGTGAACCAATATCTCATAACCCCACAAATGGTGACCCCCGGAGATTCGTACTCACACAGGATGGAGGAGAAACTGATCACTCTCCCAATCTTCAAGCAACATGGAAGACTGGCTTATCCACGCAGAGGCAGCTCTCATCAGCTCTACAGCTACTGTCTCTACACCGCAGGTTAGACACCCTAGAGCAGCTCTGCTACTCTAAGCAGACAGCCGCTCCTCTTCCTGCCCCAAGCACCACGTCCTACCGACCCCAACACACCCGTCCTGCCTCAGATGCCGCCCCCGGCCAAGCAGTACCCCCTGCTGCTCCTTCTGACGCGGCCCCTGCTCCTGACGCAGACCCACACACCCCTCTTTTCTTTTTTCTCCCTCAGGTACCCCCTGCTACTGTCCTGCACCCTGCTGCTGTCGCGGATCCTGCTGCTGTCGCGGACCCTGCTGCTGTCATGCACCCTGCTGCTGTCATGGACCCTCTTCCTGATGCAGCCCCTGCTCCTGACCCAGACCCACACACCCCAGCAGGCGCATCTGAGGACTCTGTACCTGCCGTGAGGGAAGCACAACATTCATCGCCTCCACAACCCTCCTTCTCCCTCTTTTCTCCCACAGATCTCGTGTATCTAGATGGAGCTGTCCTCCCTAGCGGCCGGCTCATCCTCGCCCTCGCCGTTATGTCTCACATGTGGCATGCACCGCCCGTTCTGCCTCACATGTGGCACGCAACCCTGCCAACCTCCAGCCTCCTGCCGCGCCCGGAGGGAAAAGGGAGTATTGTAGTGGATGCCTCCCCTACAAAAGCCATTTATCGCTGTGTAGCCGACCCTTTTCGAATTCCCCGGCCTACGCCTCCAGCGCCGCCTGACGGAGCGGGGGTCAACTGTCAACCCACGCCTTATAAGACCTCACACCGCTGTGACCACTCTCTTTCTACCTACGGCCACCAGCAAGCAACACCTCCTCCTCCGCTCCAGCCTGGCGGCGCCCGCTCCCGCTGGCGACCGTGGCGTCCCTCAAGCTGCGTGCCCTCCTCTGGGCACCCTCACCAACCAGCTCTCTCTACTCAACGCTTGTAACCATGCTGCCTACTCAGCAACAAGCTGCATTGTACATCCAATACAATATGTATACAGAGAGCACTTTGTGAGTTTCCTTTCTCCATCCCATCTTGAGTGTGAACCAATATCTCATAACCCCACACTGTCACTAGGTCTCAAGCCAGGCTAGACATGAGTAAGGAGATAGATGATCCTCCACATCTCGCTACTGCCCCGCAGACTGGTTTTGGCGACCTTGGCAGTAACCCTGCACTGCCTGCAGTACCTTAGAACCAGCATGGTGATTTGCTCACTCAACTCATGACCCCTGAATGAAGCACAAAAGACTGACTCAACATTGGCTAAGTTCATAATGAAGCTGTTGATGATAAGGAGATAGAGAAACCCCCTCTTCCTACTATAATGACGGTATTATGCTTAGTTTCTATTGATTACCCAATCTGTTGATTGATGACACATGCCGACACTATTAGCCATTTGCCTCTTCCAGAGGTTCCCAGAACCACACCCGCGCTGGGGGACGTAGTGTATTTGATGGAGCGCCTGGAAAATTCACCAGTTACTGTAAAAGACCGTAAGATGTGGACGGAGAGGGACCCGACACTCTCCAAGGTAAAGGGTTATGTGTTACGCAGCTGGCTTGAGCACATCACTGAGGAGACATTGAAGCCATTTTGTGTGTCCCACCCTCCCTAGCACAACACCTTCCATCCTCCCTAGCACATCACCTCCCTCCCTCCCTAGCTCAACACCTCCCTCCCTAGCTCAACGCCTCCCACCCTCCCTAGCTCAACACCTCCCTCCCTCCCTAGCTCAACACCTCCCTCCCTCCCTAGTTCAACACCTCCCTCGCTAGCTCAACACCTCCCTCCTAGCTCAGCCCTCCTCCCTCCCTAGATCAACACCTCCTCCCTCCCTAGCTCCTTTTACCTCCCTTCACTCCCTAAGCTCCAACCCCCTCCTCCCTCCCTAGCTCAGCCTCCTCCCTCCCCTCCCTAGATCTCCTCCCCTCCCTCTAGCTCAACACCTCCTTCCTCCCTAGCTCAACACCTCCCTTCCTCCCTAGCTTCCGCCTCCTCTTTCCCTAGCTCAACACCTCCCTCCCTCCTCCCTTCAACACCTCCCTCCCCTCCCTCCCCTAGCTCAACACCTCCCATCCGTCCTAGCTCAACACCTCCTCCCTCCTCCCCTAGCTCAACACCTCCCCTCCCCTCCCCTAGCTCCCTTGCCCTCCCATCCGTCCTGGCTCCAACACCTCCATCCCTCCCCTCCCTAGCTCAACACCTCCCTCCCTCCCTAGCTCAACACCTCCTCCCTCCCTCCTAACTCCAGCATCCCATCCGTCCTAGCTCAACACCTCCCTCCCTCCCTCCCCTAGCTCCAACACCTCCTCCCCTCCCTCCCTAGCTCCAACACCTCCCATCGTCCCTAGCTCAGCACCTCCCCTCCCTCACTCCCTAGCTCAACACCTCCCTCCCTCCCTAGCTCAGCTTGCCCTCCCATCCGTCCTGGCTCAACACCTCCATCCCTCCCTCCCTAACTCCAACACCTCCCTCCTAGCTCATCACCTCCATCTACCTATTAGCACCTCCTTCCCTCTCTGGCTCTTTTCCTCCCCTCCCTCTCTAGCTCAACACCAGCCTCCTAGCACATCACCTCCCTCCTCCCCTAGCTCAACACCTCCCTCCCCTAGCTCAACGCCTCCCCCACCCTCCCTAGCTCAGCACCTCCCTCCCTCCCCTAGCTCAACACCCCTCCCTCCCCTCCCTAGTTCCAACACCTCCCCTCCCCAGCTCCGCTTACCTCCCTCCCTAGCTCAACCCCTCCCTCCCCTCCCTAGATCAGCACCTCCCTCCCCTCCCTAGCTCCAACACCTCCCTTCCTCCCCTAGCTCCAGCCCCTCCCTCCCTCTAGCTCAACCCCTCCTCCTCCCCTCCCTAGATCAGCACCTCCTCCCTCCCTGTCCTTACCTCCCTTTCCTCCCTAGCTCAACACCTCCCTTCCCTCCCCTAGCTCCAACACCTCCCCCTCTTTCCCCTAACTCCAAAACACCTCCCTCCCCACACCTCCTCCTAGCTCAACCCCTCCTCCCTCCTCCCCTAGCTCAACACCTCCCATCCGTCCTAGCTCAGCACCTCCTCCCTCCCTCCCTAGCTCAGCACCTCCCTCCTCCCCCTAATCAACGCCTCCCATCCGTCCTGGCTCAACACCTCCACTTCCTCCTCCCTAGCTCCAACCTCCTCCCTCCTCCCTAGCTCAACACCTCCCCTCCCCCCTCCCCTCCCCTAGCTCAGCACCTCCCATCCCGTCCCTAGCTCAGCTGCCTCCCTCCCTCCCCTAGCTCAACACCTCCCTCCCTCCTCCCCTAGCTCAACACCTCCCATCGTCCTAGCTCTAACACCTCCTCCCTCCCTCCCCTAGCTCAACACCTCCCCTCCTCCCCTAGCTCCAACACCTCCCCCATCCGTCCTGGCTCAACACCTGTCCTCCCTCCCCTAGCTCCTTTACTCCCTCCCCCGCTCATCTCCAGCATCCCCACCCTGCCTAGTACTGCTTACCTCCTTCCCTCTCTAGCTCAACACCTCCCTCCCTCTCTGCTCAACACCTTCCATCCTCCTAGCACATCACCTCCCTCCTCCCTACTATACAGCTTTACCTCCTCCCTAGCTCCTTCCTCCCACTCTCCCTAGCTCAACGCCTCTCCCCATGCGTCCTGGCTCAACTTACCTCCATCCCTCCTCCCTAGCTCAATACATCCCTCTAGCTCATCACCTCCCTCTACTAACTCAATACATCCCTCCTGGTTATCGAATTTTTTCGGGAAGTAGATTATCGACTTTTGAGGAAATATTACTAATTTTCTGAAGTGAATTATCATAGAAAACAGGAAATTTGTATCACAGAAAATGGGAAATAATCTACTTTTCAGGGAAAGTTGAGTTTGTCTGTTATCATAGAAAACGGAAATTTATATCCATAGAAATGAAATAATCTACTTTCCGGGAAGTTGGTTTGTCTACTTTCGAAAAGCAGATATCTGCTTTTCGGGAAGTAGATTATCGCTTTTTGGGAAATAGATTATCGACTTTAGAAATGTTGCCTAATTTTCCAGAGTAGATGGTGACTGAGGCGCCACCTACCAACCATCGGGTGACTGAGGCACACCACCATCAGGTGACTCGGCGACCACCACCAGATGACAGAGGCACCACCTGCAGATGACTGGGGCACCCACCACCTGCCAGATGACTGAGGCACCCACCATCCAGGTGACTGAGGCACCACCACCACCAGATGACTGAGGCACCACCACCACCAGATGACTGGCTGCCACCACCACCAGATGACTGGGGGCACCACCACCACCAGATGACTGGGGGCACCACCACCCGCAGATGAGCTAGGGGCTGCCACCTGCAGATGACTGAGGCACCACCATCAGGTGACTGAGGCAACACCACCATCACCACCAGATGACTGAGGCACCACCGCCGGGTGGCTGAGAACTTTCACCACCAGATGACTGAGGCACCACCACCACCAGATGTTGGGCCTGCACCAGATGACTGAGGCACCACCGCCGGGTGACACAGAACACCCTGAATGACTGAGGCACCACCACCACCCACAGATGACTGAGGCACCACATCAGGTGACTGAGGCACCACCACCCAGGTGACTGAGGCATCACCACCACCACCACCATCACCACCAGATGACTGAGGCACCACCGCCAGGTGACTGAGGCACCACCCCCATCAGGTTACTGAGGCATCACCACCACCACCATCAGGTGACTGATGCATCACCACCACCACCATCAGATAACTGAGGCATCATCATCATCACCACCACCACCAGGTGACTGAGGCATCACCACTACCACCAGGTGACAGAGGCTACATCATCACCACCACCAGACAACACCAGAAGATGATTGAAAATACTCCAAATAGATGCTGACATTGTTATTTGGGAGCTACTGTAGTATGTAATGTACAGAGCTGTAGCTTTTATAGTATGCAGTCTACAGAGCTGGAGCTACTGTATTATGTAATCTACAGAGCTGGAGCTACTGTAGTATGTAATCTACAGAGCTGGAGCTTTTATAATATGCAGTCTACAGAGCTGGAGCTACTGTATTATGTAATCTACAGAGCTGGAGCTACTGTAGTATGTAATCTACAGAGCTGGAGCTTTTATAATATGCAGTCTATAGAGCTGGAGCTACTGTATTATGTAATCTACAGAGCTGGAGCTTTTATAATATGCAGTCTATAGAGCTGGAGCTACTGTATTATGTAATCTACAGAGCTGGAGCTTTTATAATATGCAGTCTATAGAGCTGGAGCTACTGTATTATGTAATCTACAGAGCTG